TTATCTATGATAAAAACAAGTTTTTACCATCAAAAAGTTAATCTTATCTAGTATGATTATGGTTTTTAATTTAACTGGATCATGACGCATATTCATAGCATTATGGGAAATATATACTATTAGTCCTTAACTTTGCTTAAGTGACCCGAGGGCGCTGTTATAATTTAAGAAGTACGCACAGTTTCTAAATATCCTCCTACCACCCATTCTTGCCTGCATTGACTTTAAAAAAGCCAAGTTTCTCGAATCGAAAGGCAGCGTAAGCAACGAAATGCTCATTCTTAGAGCTACTTGCCCTTGAAGTTTTTCCTCCAAGTTCGTATAAGTCAGAAGTCGCCTAAGAACATTCCACCACCTGTACTTTCAACCCCAACCCTTAGTTGGGGTTTATTTATCGCCAGAGTGAAATTTCAGCCTCTTGATCTCCCTAAAATTACCTCCTACTCGACTAATGTTCATCCTGAAGGATTCTAGGACAGTTTATAAGATAGCTTACCTAAAACCTCTTCAAACAAGGTTTTGTACACTGAAACAAGCTGCTTTAGCAACCTACAAGTTCCCATTGCATGCGGTCTGGATCACAAATGAATTTGAACAGCCGGCTCTTGAACGACTAAACTCTGGCAATTTTCTCGTCTGTTGGTTATGTCTAGCGTTAGTTATCTGTCTGAAAGTGGTTTCATATGTGACTTTGCTTAGCTGAATGATTTACTTAAACATCTATAAACAAGGATGCAACCACGGCTGACCATTGTCTAAGATGCAGGATAGGTACGAGTATTTTTTTATTTTCCCAAATTTTTCAGAAATTTTTTACAACTACCAAATATCCTAGTGGAATTCTCAAAACAGTTACAACTTGATCTTTATCATCTGTTCCATACTCAAGTCTATAGAAGATCTACCCAAGCGTCGATATCAGAGCTAAATGGTGTGTTGGAGTTCCCATAAATAGTGCGCCCCTGTCGCGGAAGCATTCGAGACTTTCTTTAGTCTAAGAGGTTGTGGCAGTTCATGCGCTCCTTTCTTAAGAGATGAGGGGTTGTAGTCATATGAAGACATGAATGCAAGCATAGTGAATGGCAAGTATCACTATGTATTCCGATTTCCTAAGGAATCTTGCTGCTCTTTTTCTTTCAAATGTAGGACGTTTTAGCATCGACATTCATCTCGGCAGTGTCCCACGTTTATACTCCAGGCCTGGGCTTTCCTCATACATCAATTCCATATCAGGCTTTTTGTAAAATTTTGCGAATATTCGCAAACTTACACGTGAACTGTGCTTTCCAGACTAGCTCCGAGCCCGTTGACACGCTAGAATTTGTTTAAAATGCTTCTTATCGTAACAACCGTGTTTCGGTAGCTTACTTATTTTTAAGTTCTGGTTATTTTTGGAATTTTACTCTCTCTACGTTTTCCCAAAAAGCCGCATGTAACTTTTATTTATTGTCAATGAAAGTGATTTTAGAGTTTTTCAGTAATTCGTGGGTTTAAAATAAGTGACCCTAACTAACTTGGTGAACTTTGGACTGTTATTTGAGTTTTTCCGATAACTATATTAATAGACCTTGTGATTTCATTAAAATTAAACCTATTCTTGCGACCCAAAAGGTTTTCTCAACCAGGCTTAATAACTTTTCGACCTTTTCTACGCGAAATCACATTAAAATGTGCATTAAATGCTTTGGGCTTTTTTGGAATAATTGGAACGGCCTATTTACTGAAGCATCTGGAATTATAGATAGTCATGGACTACTCAAGACCGCATTCGAACTAGCGTCAAAAGTTTGTGGCTAAGGGTTCTATAAACAATTTAGCTAACTAGTTTATAATTAGGTATATACTTTGCAGGTTAAATGCCGTTGATTGTAGGCCATTTCGGTGGTGAACTCTAAACAAAGCGTTCAAATAAACTAGGCATTAGTGCAGACTGGCCTCTGGTTAAGGTGTCGAAATTGTAATAGCACAGGAATCCGTCTGAAATTTTAACTGCTTTTGTCTTATACACAGTCATGATATAGTGCCAATTGTGATGGGCGGTAGCTTCTCCGATTATGCCAGCGTCTCCCCAAGTCACTCTTTCATCCACACTGAGTCCTTTAGGACGGTCAAAGAGCTGGCTGACTATCTGCTCATGCTGGACGCCAACGATCATCTGTACAATGCTTATTTTGCTTGGAAAGAGGAGGGTAGAGTGGATACAAACACATTCACCAGCTGTCGACTCTGCATGGTAGCCCACGAAGCGGATAACCTGCCGGCGAGCTGGTATGTCGATGCTAGCGAATGGTGGTCCACCAACCAGTGTCGAACCTCACTAGACGTGGAATTGGTTTGATGCTGGTCAAGAGGACAGAGAAGAAACCATAAGAATATTCCATGAAGCCGAGGCTTCCGCTTTGCTAGTTAAAAAGGAGACTTTAATTAACCAGATCAGGAATTGAGAAAATTTCAGAGCGAAAAATCGCAAGTGCCAAATGGCATAGACCGGGAGTTCCGGCTACTTATCTCGAAAGGAGAAGACATTCCTGGCAAGCCGGTGAAGTGCATGCTTCTAGTTCTGCAAGGTCTATTCCAAAAGTAAAGTATTGTTTTATAAAGCTCTACTCTTAAAGTCATTCACAAGGGTATCATCACCTTACCTACTTTTTTATAAATGAATTAAACTAGTTTTCTACACAACTGATTGGCCTAAAACTTCCAGCATCCAGGCCCGAATCAAATTTGGTATATTTTATCGAAACTTCATGTGTTGCTTTTTACATGACAACTTTTGTCTTAGAATGCATACTCACTACAAGTTTGTATATAGCAGCTGAAAAATAGGCAAAATAGGAAAGAGAGGATTGTGTGACCAAGCGTGTCCATACCCAACTCGCTTTCAAAACCGCCTGCAAACCTACACCCTACACTTTCCTCCATAACCGGAGCTCTTGCACCTCTACGGTAATAAGGGAATTCATATCAGGTTTAACCATTGCTCTTTCTCATCTCTTTTTTTACTTGCTTTCTCACCTTTTATTCCTTCAGTAATTTTTCGTAATCTTTAAAGATGTCAACTAACTTATATATTATTTTGGAGTGTCGTATAGTTGAGCCGCGGAATTTCTACCTCATCATCATTTTGTCGGGGATAATTTAATTAACTTACCGCAATTTTCAATGATATAGACTATTTCCCACCCCCAGTTTTGACTCTATGCTGTACTATAGGCCTATTGTCTTTACAATAGTCTTGTTCAGACTACTATACACTTGATGCAGTTAAATTCCGGACCTGTTCTAGCATACTGAAAAAATAAATTAGAAAAATCTTTATATTTCAGCAAGTCATTCAATAATAGTTTCCTTTACTACTCGATGAAATGGGTTAAATGATAATGTGCCTTTCATTTGACTCAATCACTCAGGCCAACTATCATGATTAAATACGGCTTTTTCCTCATTGGCATAGAAAATAATAACAGAACTCCTCGTTTCCAACGGTCAATTCATGCATCAAACACAAGAATATCAAAGTTTTGTACATCTTAACCAGGTATCTAATACGTCGACCCACAAGCTCACATCGTTTTGTCTTTTTTACGAGAATGAGACAAATTCCTGTTCTAATGCGTATATTCCAGTACCTTCTTTTTTAAACTCTACCAAATGATGCCAGTGATCAATCAGTTTATTCAAACTTTACAAGTTGGCGAACTTATTTCGACACACCAAAACATCTCGAATTACAGAGTACGGTCACGTGGAATTATGCAAATACAGTAAAACCTGTTTTTGTGCGGTTGATAGGGACCGTATAAAAGAAATCATACAAAAAAATATTCTGAAATTTTATAAATGCTTACATATAATAAACAACTTTGTACGATATGCTAAATAAAATTTTTTTAATGCGGTGAACAGGGACCGCATAAAAAAAGTCGGACTTAGAAAATACATCAATGATTTACGAAATAGATGAGAGAATGCTTTCAATTAAATTAAATATTTAAATAAGACCCGAAGAAATTGAAAAAATATTTAATTCTTCATTGTACATATACATGGAGAAGTTTTCAAATTATACACTAAATAGTTTGCTGCTACTCGTCATAATCTAAAACGCGCATCTTCTTGTGATGAATTGGTTCAAGATCGCTTTCGTCGCTTGAAGACAGGATTTTAATTGATCTGTTTTTTGGTAACATAAAGTCAGTGATCAGATTTATGACGACAGTCGACTAGTTAATTGCTTGTAAACGTCACGATAGGGAGACTTGCATGATCTCAGCTCTTTTTGGAATTTTAAGCGTCTTTCCGGATTGGTATCTATTTTAAGAAAATGCGTTGCCAATTTTTTAGAAATCTGGATCCCTGCATATATTTTATCTGCTGCAATAGATTCCGGTTCTTCGTGTCCATTTTCATAATCTATCAAACTATTGATAATGTCATTTATAAGTGGTGTTAACATCTTTGCACCAGAGGCGTTGCTGCAAAGAAGAAGTGTGATTCGATCCTTTGCCGCTTTAAAACCACTTGCAGTTTTCTCCGATTTCGCACGTTTCTGTATAGCTCTGATCGTGGATTCACCTTATTTAAATTCGTTAGCAACAGCTGTGGATCCTTCACCATCTGCTAGTCTATTTAATATTAGAATTTTTGTTTCTAATGGAATTGTCTGTCTTTTTACTTTCTTTTGGCTATAATTATTCATTTTAAGAGAGTACTTATGCCTAAAAATAAGATAAAAATCATGAAAACTACATATAACTAGAAACAAAAGTAACTAATTTATTTACCTTTAATCTCACTATAAAATGAATCCTTGATCACGTGAATCGTGGATAAAACTCTGAATATCAAGCGTATACTGTTCGCGCGTCGAGCGACAATATGTACGTAACTGACTCTGCCTTGTCAAGAGATTGTACAACATGTATATTTACATTGATATGAAACATTAAACTG